CGGGCTGCACAGCTGCACCGGCGGGAGAGGCGCCTGGAGCCCGGGCTGCACAGCTGCACCGGCAGGAGAGGCGCCTGGAGCCCGGGCTGCATAGCTGCACCGGCGGGAGAGGCGCCTGGGACGTGCGCACTCCATCCCACCTGGCGTGGAACCCACAGGCTCGTCGAGACGGCACAGGGGGATGACAGTGGAGGCAGTTTCTCGCTGGTTTTAGGATCCGCCTGTAGGCCCGTCGGGGTGCTCCCAGCTCTGCAGGCGGCATGCTCACCTGTGGCCGCGGCCTCGTCTTCTCGCAGCCCTGTCCTTCCCTGCAGCCTCCGACGCCACAACCAGCAGCTTCCCTGACGCCGTCGGCTCCTCGGGAACTCGCGCACACGGCGCTCCGCCCAAACGCGGCAGACGATGCTCCAGCCCACCCCAGACAGTGTCAGCCTGAGCTCTGACGCCTGCCTGGCTTACAGAGCTTCACTCTTTCTTCTTTTTTTTTTTTTAAAGATTTATTTTTATTTATTTGAAAGACAGTTACAGAGAGAGGTGGAGACAGAGAGAGAGGTGTCTTCCATCCGCTGGTTCACTCCCCAGATGGCTGCAATGGCCGGAGCTGCGCCAATCTGAAACCAGGAGCCAGGAGCTTCTTCCAGGTCTCCCACGCAGGTGCAGGGTCCAAGGACTTGGGCCATCTTCCTGCTGCTTTCCCAGGCCACAGCAGAGGAGCTGGATCGGGAGTGAGGAGCCGGGTCTTGAACTAGGTCTTGACCTGGATGGAGTTCCAGGCTACTAGCTTCAGTCTGGCTCAACTCTAGCCAGTGCAGCCACTTGGGGAGTAAACCAGAGGACAGAAGATCTCTCCCTCTCTCTCTCTGTCTCTCCCCTCTCTAACTGCCTTTCAAATAAATAAATAATTCATTCGAAAGGGCAAAATGACGGAGAGGAAGGAGAGAGAGGTCGTCCATTGATTGGTCCACAATCCAAATGCTTACAACAGCCAGGGCTGGGCCAGGCCAGAGCCAGGAGCCTGGAGCTCCACTTGGGCCTCCCACGTGGGTGGCAGGGCCCAAGCACTTGGGCCACCTCTGCTGCCTTCCCAGGCCATTAGCAGGGAGCTGGACTGGAAGTGGAGCAGCTGGGACTCGAACTGGCACGACGTGGGATGGCGTGCCTACCCTCTCTGTTGCTTTTTAAATGGTCTTGAAAGGCTCACAGGCAGCTGCCTACCTAGGAAGCATCCTGCGGCTGCTGGGCGGGAAGCAAGCACGGGGCTCTGGGTGCAGCCCTGACCGCCAGCGGCTCAAGTCCAGCCGAGGTGTCCGAGACGAGCTGGACACGCAAGTGCCCGGGAGGGACCCTGACGTTCGAGGGTTGGGAAGACAAGGGACCCAGCAAAGGAAACCAAAGAGGCGCAGCAGCGGGTGACCCGGAAGTGGGGGAGGGAGCCCGCAGGGGTCAGCGGTGGCGATGCTGCCGACAGGGCAGGAAGACACGTGGACAGCTGCCAGGGTCACCTGGCAAAGAAACCTTACTTTCAGAGGAATGTGCCGGGTGGTCTAGAAACTTCTGTGGGCCCTGCACTGCAGGCTCCTCCCCCACACCATTTATCCCAAGGGCAATTAATCATTTGCAGACTTGTCTGAATGTTTTGCTCTGAGCCGGGACGAAGGCACCAGCAGGATCTCCCTTCACTGCAGCCCAGGAGGGACTATGCAGCGGTTCCGCACCTGCGCGACAGACGAAAGGACCACGGACTCCGAGCAGGGTCCCCTGGTTCACAGCAGGGACAGCACCTGTGACGCGGCATCACCGCCGCGCCAGCGCGGCCAGGCCACTGCTCCCTGCACATGCGGCCTCCCCGCCTCTCATCTTCTCCAGCCCAGGGGCAGCCACAGAACTTCGCAGAGTGGGGAGCTCGGGGCCCCTCACCGCTGGGGTGCCCACGACTGCGTCCATCCCGGGGTCCGAAACGCCCCCCTGCCCAGAACGACCTGCAGCGTTTGTTACCACACAGCGTTGGGCTCCAGACCCAGGGTGCGTCTCTATCTGGGGTGAGGCCAGGGTCTCTCACACACTGCACCCAATGACCAGGTGCGTGGTGTGGGGCCGCACGTTGAGCCACAGCTTTGCGGCAACTCTCCTATGCCTGGTCATCTTGCTTCCCCTATAAAGAAATTTAATGTAAGCAGAAAGAAAATATGACTTAATTTTCAAAACCGTAACATATGAAAAGGGAACTGAAAGTAACAGGCAGCATTCGGCACAGCAGGTTCAGCCGCCACCTGAGATGCCGGAGCTGGAGGCCCGGCTGCTCCCTGCTGATCTGACCGAGCGCCTGGGGCGCAGCGCAAGATGATCCGAGCATTTGGGCCCCTGCCACCCGTGCGGGAGACCCAGATGGAGTTCCCGGCTCCTGGCTTCGGCGTGGCCCACTTCCAGCCATTGCGACTATTCGAGCAGTGAACCAGCAGAGGGAAGATTGCTGTCTCTCCCTCTCTTTCTCAAACTCTGCCTTTCAAGTAAATAAATAAATCTTCAAATAGAGAAGACCTGGCTTCGGAATTCCATGCTCCGTGTCAGAGTGCCTGGGCTCAAGTCCTGGCTTCCTGCTACTGTGCACCCTGGGAGGCAGCAGGTGATGGCTCAAGTACTTGGGTCCCTGCCACCCACACGGAGACCCAGGATGGGGCTCCCGGCTCCCAGCTCCAGCCTGACCCAGCCCTGGTGTTGCAGTCTTTTGGAGAGTGAACCAGCAGATACGAGATCTTTTAAATAAGCAGATGAGACCTTTGTGTTCGTCTGTCTCTGCCTTTCAAATAAATTAAATAAATAAAAATCTGGAAAAATATTTTCAAGATTTCTCCTGAAATGGAAGTCTACAAAGCCACGCCAAGAAAAGTGACCCAGTTTGGGGCCAGTGCTGTGTGGTAGCGGGTCAAGTCACTGCCTGCAGCACAGGCAGCCCTTACGGGCTCTGGTTCAAGTCCCGGCTGCTCCACTTCCCATCCAGCTCCCTGTGATGGGCCTGGGAAGCAGTGGAAAACAGCCTGAGTCCTTGGCCCCCTGCCAGCCAGGTGAAGGACCCAGACTTGGCTCCTGGCTTTGGTCTGGCCTAGCCCTGGCCGTTGCAGCCATTTGGGAAGTGAATCAGCAGAGGGAAGATGTCTCTGTCTCTCCCTCTCCCTCCGTAACTCTGCCTTTCAGAAGAAATAAAAACAAATCTTTTCAATAAGAAGGAAAGGGAAGGGAGGGGAGGGGAGGGGAGGGGAGGGGAGGGGAGGGGAGGGGAGGGGAGGGGAGGGAGGGAGGAGGGAGAGGAGAGGAGAGGAGAGGAGAGGAGAGGAGAGGAGAGGAGAGGAGAGGAGAGGAGAGGAGAGGAGAGGAGAGGGCCCAGGTAGAACGCAGTCAGGTGCGGCCAGCATGCCCTGGAAACCCCACACGGCACCCATGCCACACAGGCCCCTCATAACGAAGGCTCACTGACCGCTAACTCTGGGCCACGGTACAGCACACACATTCACAGCCACGCGGGGAGCGGGTATCAGAGACGCCCACTTAGCAGAGGAGGAGAGCGAGGCGCCGTCAGAGGCGCGAGATCCTGCACACAAGAGGGGGACAGCTGACAACCAGGTCCAAGCCTGCAGGTGCGGGCTCCAGCGTGGCCCCTGGAGGCAGGGCTGTGCTCCTGGCCCGCTGAACAAGTGACAAGTCCTCCGGGGTCCCCCTTGCTGGTGCTCAAGGCTGCCCCCTGCAGGAAGGCGGCAGCACAACAGCAAACACACCCCCACTGCCCTAACTCAGCCGCACCGCACCGGGGCAGAGCAGGGAAGCAATCCCAGGCAGTCTAACTCCCACGTCCGTGTTCTCCGATCACTAAGCGACGCTGCTTCTTCCAAGTAATGATTATATAAAACGATGCAGAGAGCGAGCCCCTAGCCCGGCGGTTCAGACGCCCAAGCCCCACAGCGGAGCGTCCGGGCTTCAGCCCTGGCCGCTGACTCCAGGTTTCCAGCAACACGGACCGGGCAGCGGCAGTGAGGACTCAGGTAACGGGGCTCCTGCCGCCTGCGACCCAGGCTGGCCGCTGGGGAGCGAGACAGAGGGTGGGAGCTCTCGTCTCCACTTGTCCCTGTCCCTCACATCAATGTTAAAAAAAAAAAAAAATTCCCCGAGGAAGGGGAAGGAAAGGGCTCGGAGTTCTGCAGGCTCCATCTGCCCTGAGCTCTGCCGCCACCAGCCCGACCCTCGAGCCGCGCGGGCCCGGGCCAGCCTGCTGCCCAGAGGCTTCCTCCCGGGCTCTGGCAGCCAGGGCGTTGGGGCGGGGGACGAGACCGGCGAGGCCAGAGACAGTGCGCCAGCAACCCGCTCTGGGCAGCACGGTGCGGCTCCTGCCACAGGTACACGTTGATGCCGGAGCCAGGAGCCAGGTTCTTCTTGGAGGTGCCTACCCTGAAGCACGGGCTCTCTGAAACCTTGCCAGTGACGTGGCTGCCCTCCTTCCCGAGCATGGCGGCTGACGCGGCCCCCGTCATCCCTTCGGCACGTGTGCAAGCCCGCACAGCAGGCGGCCCAAGTCCAAGACGTCACCTCTCAAGCACAGGTTCCCACGCTGACTGCGCTCGGTCGCCAAGGTCTGGACGAGGACCCCAGGGAGCGGCAGACAAGATTCCAAACAAATGCGATCCGCGGAGGGTGAAACACACCGCGTGGAAACCCCCCCGCGTCAGGGGCCCCGGCTCCGAGCTCACGTCTTGTCCCCACCCACAGTCAGCGCCGGGGGGGACTGCCCCCGCCACCCCCGCATGCCACACTCCTGGGGCAGACCCCACTTCTCACCTGGACGAGTGCAGGAGCTGGGGTCCCGCAGGTAACCCCTTCTCTCCTGACCTCTGTGACGCCTGCACGGGCCCACAGGGCTCCGGTCTGAGTCGGCTTCAAGGCACCACCTAGCCCTACCGCCAGGGTCCTCTCACTGCTCTCTGGCCTCCGCCTCAGGTGTCACACACCGTCCTCAGTCTCCTGCCATCCCCACTACCTGCCCAACTGCCTGGGCTGCATTCCAGCTCTGCCCCCACCAGCTGGACGACCCTGCACAGCTCACCCGCCCGTGCCCAGTGGCTCTTGGGTAAACTGAGGAAAGCACCGCTGTATCCCTCGTGAGCTCTGAAGCTCTGTAAACCAGCACAGTCATCCCCCAGTAGAGGTAATTCTGTCGCAAGCTAAAGGCCCAGTGCCAGTGCACCTCGCCAAGACGTGCACAGCTCCTGCTCTGGCGTCACCCCTCCTGTGGCCCCAGCAGCAGCCACGAAGCCCGGTGCTCTGGTGCTGGGCAGGCCCTCAGGTGTCTACTGACCAACCGTCCGTGAAGACGAAGCTGAAGGAGAAGGCAGGGCTGCTGTGGGCAATGTGACAGCCCCAGGACGCCAAGTCAGGGGCCACTCGGGTCTCGGGGAGGGCAGGTGCCGAGGGCCGGGGCGGCCTGGCCACGCTGAGCTGTGGCTGAGCACGACCTCCTCCTTGTGAAGAGACGCACTCGCTCCCACTGCCGTCACTCTGCCAGGGAGGTGACGGTCCCAAGGCCCGGCCTCACCCGGAGCCCCGACCTCCTCAAGACAGGCACTTTGCGAGCGGGCCAGCCCTGCTGTCCCACACCAGCACCGGGTCTGCACGCGAAGAACCCACGGCAGAACGCTTGCATGGCAAACGCAGGGAACACAAGTGTGGGGGCCACACACCTGCAGCCAGCAGTGGAGGGCCGAGGGAGTCACGTCACAAACACCTAGAGCCTAGCGGTGCGCTGCGTGCGGAGGGCTGTGACACGACCACGGCCGCCCTCGCCACGCTCGCGATACAGGCACGCAAGGGACGCGCAGCGCTTCCTATCTCCCAGCTCCGGGAGCGGCCACTCGGCAAAGCCCAGGCACGCGGTGCACACACACGGCACGCTTCCGGTCCCCCGCCGTGGGTACCTTTTGCGTTCTCTTTGAGTCTCTCCGGGCATTCTCTCGCAGTGGCACTTTTCCGAACAACTTCCATCCCGAGTCACTGTGTGTGTCAAGTCTTGAACTGTGTTTTCTAGCAAGCAAATTCCTATAGGAAGAAAATGAGAGGGTTAGGGAATGTCGCTCCACCCGAGCGGACAACGTGCCCAGCCCGCACGGGCTCCGGCCTCGACCTTCACACGGACGCAGGCCCGGGCAGCAGGAGAGGGACTCAGCTTGCAATAAACTTCTTGATATTCAGCCGTCACCACGTACAGATTCCGTAATCTGGAGTAAGGAAATGCGTGAGGTCATAACCAGCGTTTCAGAAAAAGGGAGCTTTCAAGTCAGACTGAGCCGAGCTGGAAGTCCTCACCCATTCACCTGCTGTGCGACCCTGCACCTCTCTGCACCCCCATTTCTCAGGCTTAACAAGGGGCGCCACCCCAGGTTCCACAGGTTGTTAAGTTAAAATGACAGTCAGGGTTTACGAACAACCTCCAGCTTGATGTAAATGCCCTACAGGGTCCATCAGCACTACCTACTTATCAACAATCTTCAAATACCATAAAAACAAAGGCACACAGGACCGGGTCACAAGGCCCTCTCTCCAAGGATATGTAAACAAAAGTTGCCCCAAAACACAAACAAACCCCAATGTTGGTACAAAACCACACACTGAATGGCTTCCAGAGGCCCCTAGCAGGTGCAAGGTGGGCCTGCGGCTCAGAAAGGCTGGCAGCCAGCCTGGAAGGGTCCCCGCTGTGAACCTGTTAACATCTACTCAACATAAACGAGGAGAAGGGATTCAACCCCACTGAATGAAGCAGAAGCCCATGAGCCCAGGTAGATAGGAGGAGCAGGAGAGCAGGAGAGCTCACAGGGCCTCCCAGGAGACCAGAGGCCAGGGGGACGGGGCACAGGAAGGCCCGGCTGGAAAGCGCTCCCCACCAGTCACGTGCTGACCACCAAGGCAGCACAGCGGGCACACTTTACACACTGGAGAAACCAGGGACACCACGGTCAAGACAAAGCACCGAGACTTGACAGCACCTGTCCACGGCACAAGAATAAACCACGAGGAAGCCCAGACACAGCCACGCCCTGAGATGTCAACGCGGCCAGAGAGGCCGCGGAAGTGTTTCCGGTTGGATGAGACTGAGGACAGCTGAGGAGTAGAGAGAGCGTAAGACGCTGAACTCTACCGGGACCAGGACCCAAACTGGGCTGGGACGGTTCTGGGTCACTGATGAATTCTGAGTCAGACTACGGAATATTCCAGCACAGCACCGGAACAACGTGAAATCTCCTGATTTGTAGAAATTTATTTGAAAGGCAGGGAGACAGAGAGAGAAACAAAGATTACTCATTTAGTCCACCACCCAACATTCCTGACAGACAGGGCCAGACAGAGGCCAGGAGGCAGGAACTCAATCCAGGTCCCCCACACTACGGAGCCGTGGCCTGCTGCTTCCCAGGGTGTCCTCCAACATGGACACAGCTGTCCCAGGCTCCAACATGGACACAGCTGTCCCGGGCTCCAACATGGACGCAGCTGTCCCAGGATCCAACATGGACGCAGCTGTCCCAGGCTCCAAAATGGACACAGCTGTCCCAGGCTCCAACATGGACACAGCTGTCCCAGGCCCCAACATGGACACAGCTGTCCCGGGCCCCAACATGGACACAGCTGTCCCAGGCTCCAACATGGACGCAGCTGTCCCGGGCTCCAACATGGACGCAGCTGTCCCGGGCTCCAACACGGACGCAGCTGTCCCAGGCTCCAACACGGACGCAGCTGTCCCGGGCTCCAACACGGACGCAGCTGTCCCGGGCTCCAACATGGACGCAGCTGTCCCGGGCTCCAACATGGACACAGCTGTCCCATGCTCCAATATGGACGCAGCTGTCCCGAGAAGCAGCTCCATGGCTGGGCCAAACTCCAACCCCAAATGTCCTGATAACTACGCTGTGGTTATTTCAGACAACGCCCTTGTTCTTAAGAGATCTGCTGACATAACCAAGGGTGGATGGGTGTGGTGTCTCCAACTACTCTTCTAATGGCTCAGAAAAACACACACATACTGTACGCGTGTACATAACACAGACAGCAGGGAAAAACAGGGCAAAATACGGTGAGGATTGGAGAAAGGGGAACGCTCGCACGCTGTTGGGGGGAGTACTAATTAGTGCAGCCACTGTGGAAAACAGTATGGAGAGTTCTTTAGAAACTAGAAAGATGCCTTTCGGTCCCGCAGCGCCACTCGGGGTACACACACAGACATGAGCTCGCTGCATCACAGACACCTGCACCACCGTGTTCACAGCGGCACTGTCCACCGCAGCCACAATGTGAGCCAACCTCGGTGTCCACCATCGGAAGAATGGACAAGGAAAACGTGGTCCTGGGGCTGGCGCTGCGGCGTAGTGAGCTAAGCCTCTGCCTGCAGTGCCGGCCCCCCAGGTGGGCTTCGGTTCATGTCCCGGCTGCTCCTCTCCCCATCCAGCTCCCTGCTGCAGTGTGGGAAAGCAGTGGAGGACGGCACAGGTGCCTGGGCCCCGGCACCCATGTGGGAGACCCGGAAAAAACTCTTGGCTTCGGATCAGCTCAGCTCTGGCCATCGTGGCCACCTGGGGAGTGAACCGGAGGACTAAGACTTTCTCTCTTTCTCCCTCTAAGTACCTCTCAAATAAATAAATAAAATTTAAAAAAAGAACGAACACGTGGTATATACACACAACGGAACATTATTCAGCTATAAAAAGGAATAAATTCTACGACTGCAGCACAGTGGACGTGACCAGAGGACGTCACGCTGATGATCTCTGAGCCAGAAACCGAGAGACAGATACTACGTGTCTCCCCCATAAATCAGGAACAAGGACACGCTGTGAGGTCAGTATTATCCCAGAGTTTTCTAACGGTATTCTAGACCTCTGTCAAGCCAATGGTTAAGAAGGTTATGCTAGGGGCGCTGTGGTCAGAGCTGGGCCCCCTCCGGCAGGGCCCGCTTCCCACAGGGCGCCAGCCTGAGCCCTGGCTGCTCCATTGCAATCCAGCGGAGGAGGCCCGGGGGCCCCCGCACCCACACTCCGGCTCCTGGCTTCAGCCTGGCCTGGTCCTGCCTACTGTGGCCATTTGAGGAGTGGGCCAGTGGAGGGAAGAACTCTCTCTCTCTCTCTCTCTCTCTCTTCCTCTTTCTCACTCTGTAAATCTGCCTTTCAAAATAAATCTTTAAAAAAAATGCTTTACAGCTGTAAATATTTATGGTTATTTTTAAAAAGTATTTATTTTACTATATAGGGTGAAATGGCCATTTTTCCATTCAATTACTGTTCATAGCCATTGTGTGTACCCACTGGACTAGGGACCTTTGGCTCTTGTTAAACCTCTTATCTGGTGAAGCACTAAACCTTTTTGAAAGATGCTATCTTAAAAACTAAAAAAAAAGGGGGGGGAGGGAATATCATCATAACAATTATATACAAACTAGGGCCGGCACTGTGGCACAGCGGGTTAAAAGCCCTGGCCTAAAGCCCTGGCATCCCATACGGGTGCCGGTTCTAGGCTCAGCTGCTCCTCTTCTGATCCAGCTCTCTGCTGTGGCCTGGGAAAGCAGTGGAAGATGGCCAAGTCCTTGGGCCCCTGCACCTGCGTGGGAGACCCGGAAGAAGCTCCTGGCTCCTGGCTTCGGATCAGTGCAGCTCCGGCCGTTGTGGCCATCTGGGGAATGAACCAGCAGATGGAAGACCTCTCTCTCTCTCTCTCTCTCTCTACCTCTCTCTGTAACTCTTTCAAATAAAATAAATCTTAAAAAAAAAAAGAATTGTATACAAACTATATTGAATTGTTAAAAAACAATAAAAATTAAAACATTTTAAAATAATAAAAAGAAAAACCAGCAAAATGCAAATAGTAAATCTGGATAAAAGATATACGGGAACTCCTAGTTTCGTTTTTGACAACTTTTCATAAGTTTGAAATTACATCAAAACAAAGTCACAAAAACTCTGAGAACAAAGGACAAACGCTGCACTGTCCTCTCCTTGCCTCCTGTCCAGGCTCTAACAGAGTCCATTTCAGAAAAGGTTTCATGGCCCAAGGCACTTTCTATTTACGCTTACAGGAAATGAACTTCAAGCTATCAGAATCCACTGAACATCTAAGATTTCACCATCGATAAAGGACTTACACAACTGAAACCAGGCGGAGACCTCAGGCTCGCAGAGAACACCCGGCACCTGGGCACCCAGAGCCTGGGCTCAGGACGGCCGGCTCGGCCTCTCCCGGGGGAAGGCACAGACGCACTCGGGCAGGGGACGGCCCAGGAGGGAGTGATGCTGCTTCCTGAGCTGAGCCGTCGGCGGGTGGCGTCTGGGCGGCCGGCTCCCGGATCTGATAACCTGGGCAGTCGGGCACAAGCGGCGGTGCCGTCTGCCAACAGGGCCTGCAGGAGGTGACGAGAGCGACAGAAACCTCAGGGCGTCACCTCTGCCAGTACCCTACAAAATACAACTTAGGCAAACTAAAAATGTAACTTATCCCAACTCAAGGCTGCAGGCTGACCTCCGCGTAGAGCTGACCTGCGGCCATGATTCTGAGGGGTCAGAAAGGCGCCTCGGGTTCATTCCACATCGGGACAGTGGGTGGAAGCCCCACCCCAAACAAGTCACTGCAGCCAGGGCTCTGAGGAGAAGGGAGCCACCCCCCAGCACCGACACCTGCTCACCACGCCCACACCCTCCAACCCGCCTCCACCCCCAAGTCCCGGTTCTCCAGAGCGCGGGGAAGGCAGCAATGCCCAAGGACCTGCACCACACGTACTCAGCCGGGGTCCGGGGCCTCCTTGGAAAATGCAAGGGGGCCGGCGCCGCGGCTCACTAGGCTAATCCTCCACCTTGCGGCGCCAGCACACTGGGTTCTAGTCCCGGTCGGGGCGCCAGATTCTGTCCTGGTTGCTCCTCTTCCAGGCCAGCTCTCTGCTGTGGCCCGGGAGTGCAGTGGAGGATGGCCCAAGTGCTTGGGCCCTGCACCCCATGGGAGATCAGGAGAAGCACCTGGCTCCTGCCATCGGATCAGCGCAGTGCGCCGGCCGTGGCAGCCATAGG